CTCTCTCTCTCTCTCTCTCTCTCTATATATATATATATATATATATATATATATATATATATATATATATTGCTAAGGCATGCTATTCTGTTCACATATTACTAGAGAATCTTTAACTACATAACCACAGCAGAGAAATGGTTTCAGGATTTGGAAGTACATAAAACATGAAAAGATTTACATGCAATCAAAAGCTAAGATGCAACAAATTTGTACATCGATGTCCTTCCCTACTTCATCTAGCTCCCATTTGCTACTATTAGGTATAGCTAGAACCATCTATACAACTTAAGACTATCTAAATGAGCTTTTTTGAGCAAAATATCACAATTTTGGACAAGGCCATACTGATCCACCTTAGTTGACACCACGATAGACGGCACCAGGGCAAAGCTCATCCATACTATCAACATTTCGATATCCATTATACTCTCTTAAACATGACCAGCCTCTGCGTGATAAGAAGTTACGGAAATCATCCTCGGAGTAAAAGGTTTTATCCTCTGTATGAACAGGCAAGTGATCTGCCTCATCATACATGCAGATCTTTATCGTCAGGCCTGCGAGCAGGAAGCAGATTACTTTGTCTATTTCTTCTTATGAAGGGAATGAGAATGGGTTAAGGGGGGACAAAAGAATAACAGCACTGAATACATAATAGCAAGATAGGCAAATGTTTACTCTGCAAAAGATTTACTTTAGTTACATACCACTGTCAATAATGCCCATATTATTTGTCCAATGCATTATAACTTCGTCACCTTAATTTTATATTCACAAGGGTGATGTGAGACCGGTCCTGGAAATAAATATGGAGTTGCAAAGCTCTAATATAGGTGGTGTTTTTGACAAGGTACGTATTGTGGGTGCATTTTGACATCAGACAATTGAAGGAATTTCCTTTTACTGTAAACTAACCTGCACCTCGCCGGAAATGTGGAGGGGACAACCACACAGAGCAGCGCAAAGGAACCGCGAGGAAGAAATACTTCATGGAATTAACACTAGCAAAACTAGTAAATCAGCGCCGACAACAAAGCAACTGTATGGACCAGCTCTGTCCACACCAGGAGGAGTACCCACTATATCGGAGGTGAAATCAGGAAAGAGCAAAGGGGAAACTGCTAGGGAGAAACACTGGCCGCAACTACCGCAACACAAAGGAACTGGAGGAAGAGTAACAGTGGACATATCTGCAATCAAGTTGAGTATGCCTGAAAAAACACCAGAGAAACCATGGGCGAACCTGTTTGCTACTAATCATATAGCTTCTAGAGGTATGAATTTAACTTAGCTCCAATAATCGTAGGTGGTGAAAAGGTAGTGGAGATACTGGCTGAGGATTTAGCTGAGGATGATGTGAAATGGAAACCTTCGATGGTAGTGTACGTGGTGAGTACAACACCATCAATTCAAGCTATGGAGAGATTCATCCCGAGTCAGGGTAAATTTTCAAGTAAACCAGTGGTATTGTATCATGTTCATGGGTATTTTGTAGTAAGGATTGCAAATGAAGAAGAAACGGATACAGTGCTTAGTTCGGGACCTCATTACTTGCTGAGAAGACCAGTCATTGTGAAGCCATGGGATCCGGATTTCAACTTTAAGGAGGAGATACTCACAACAATTCCTTTGTGGGTCAAACTTCCAAACCTGCCTCTCAACTGTTGGAATTCTGTTGTGCTTAGCAAAATAGGGAGTAGCTTGGGTAGACCTTTATATGCAGGTGAATGTACTACACAAACAAGTAGAATTTCATTTGCTGGAATACTCGTTGAAATGGACATAACAAGGGTACTCCCAGCTGTGATCAAGATTCAGGATCCAAAGGGGAGAATTCTCGAGCAACAAATAAGGTATGAGTGGAAACCAGTCTGCCAGAAATGTTTACAGGTGGGACATTCTTGTGAAGCTAAAACAGCAGAAGCACCACCAAAGAAAGGGCAGGGTCAAGGACAAAGGAAGGAATGGAAGCCAACAAAAAAGGGAGGGAAAACAACTGGATAAGGTGATCAACAGATTACCACCACAAATGAATCACAGGAGCAGGAAGAATGGAAAACTGGCAAACTGTGAGGCGTAGAGCAACAAAGAAAAGGGATAATGCAGCCTGAGCACACTAGACATGAGGATGACACATACAATGAGGACAGTCCATATGAAGCAGGGCAACATAGTGGCAGCATAGTGGAAACATAGAGGATGCTAGTCATGAGGTATCATCTGAACCCCCTAATATATTATGCTAGCTACTTGGAATGTTAGAGAATTCAACCAAGAGGTAAAACACAAGGAGATGAGGTTGTTTGTTAGGAGGAATTAAGTAAATATTATAGCAATTTTCGAACATAGAGTTAGAGAAGAAAAAACAGGGAGTAATAAGTAAAATAAAGCCAGGATGGGATGGTGCACTAATGCTACAAATGAAGTTAGAGGCAGAATTTGGGTTGTACGCAATCCTAGTATAGTCAAGTTTACAAGAATGGAAACATGAGTCAAATGTATACATGGCATGCTTGATACGCAAAAAAGTGGTGTTAAGTTTCAATTAACAGCAGTGTATGGCCTGCACACTATAACTACCAGGAGTTCACAATGGGAAAAGGTAAAACAGCTAAGTACACACATCAAGGAACCATGGCTGATAATGGGTTATTTTAATTCAATCTTGGCACCAGAGGATAGACAGTAACCTATCAGAGCTTCATACAGTAGGGAGGCAATATACATGGACTAATGGGCATGTGTTCAGCAGGATAGATAGAGCATTGGTTAATGATGAATGGGTAATTAGAATGCCACCAGTACAAGCGATGGTGATGGAGCCTCTATTCTCAGATCATCCCCCCTCCCCCCTCAAGTATAGAATTGGAATCACAAAGGGACAGATGGAAGAAGCTATTCAGATTCTATAATTGTTTAGCCAAACACCCTGAATTTAAAACCACAATACAGTCAAGCTGGAAGAGACAAAATGGAGGAATGTAAGGGGTCTGGCAAAACCTAAAGGCTGTAAGAAGAGAAACGCATCAATTAAACGAAAGGAATATGTAGGGATCACAGAAAAAGTTAAGCAAATTAGAAGAGAGCTTTTTGCTAAACAGAATCAAATAAGAAGTACTCATATTCCACAACATATGGCAGAAGAAGAGAAGGAGATGAGGGCACAACTGACCAAATGGAGCTTGATTGAAGAGTCAATTTATCAGCACAAGTCTCGAATGCAATGGCTCAAATTAGGGACTCAAATACTGCTTATTTTTTTGCTAGTATGGAAGGAAGGAAAGCTCATAATCAAATTACAATGCCTACCAAAGAAGATTGTACAATTATCAGGGATCTAGATGACATCACAAAAGAAGCTGTGGGATTTTACAAGGGGTCATTAGGACAATCAACTTCACCCATGCCAGCCATTAAGCGAGAAGCAATGAGAGATGGTCCTATGTTCACCAGAACACAACAACTTTCACTCATACAACCTTTAACTGCTGAGGATGTTCTAACAACACTTAAACGAACTGATGATAATAAAGCACCAGGAGAAGATGGTTTCAATGCACACTTTTTCAAACAAGCATGGTCAACAATAGGAGATGAGGTAACAGAGAGAGTATTACAATTTTTCAAACTAATGAGATGTTTGCACCTGTTAATGGAGCTTCTGTAACACTAATTCCAAAAGTACAGCATCCTAGATCCATCAAAGAATACAGGCCTATTTCATGTTGTACCACAATATACAAGATAATCTCTAAGACGCTTACACATAGGTTAGAAGGAGTAATGAATTATCTTGTGGATCTTAGTCAGGCTGCTTTTGTACCTCGAAGAATGCTGAATGATAATATGATACTAAGTCATGAACTAATTAAAGGGTATGGAAGGAAAGGGATTTCACCTAGATGCATGTCTAAGATTGATATGCAGAAGGCCTATGACTCTTTGGAATGGCATTTCCTTGAAGAAGTCCTATTTGGTTTGCAGCTACCTGCACTGTTTATAACATGGATTATGAGATGTGTCAAGTCAGTCTCCTACTCAGCTACTCTATAGTGATAAATGGATGTCCAGCAGACCATTCCAAAAGAGGGGTCAGACAAGGGGATCCCTTATTCCCATATCTTTTTGTTCTAGCCATGGAGTATCTCACTAGATTATTGAAGTCTTTAAGGGCAAACAACAAATTCAAGTTCCATCCGAGATGCCAAAAGCAAGAGATTATACAACAGAATTTTGATGATGATCTCCAGTTGTTTAGCAGAGGAGATGTACAATCAACTGTCATCCTTTATGACTGTTTTCAGCAGTTCTCACAAGTAACAGGTTTAATAGCAAATAGCAAATCAGGCAAAATCTTGTGTGTATTTTGGTGGTATCAGAGCAAGATCAACAGCTGGTACTACAACATACAGGTTTCACAAAAGGCCAGTTCCCTTTTAGGTATCTTGGAGTCCCTTTAAGCTACAAAAAACTATCAATAAGCCAACGTCAACCATTACTAGACAGGATGCTGGAAAGAATGCACATGTGGACAGTGAAATTTCTATCGTATGCAGGGAGGCTCCAGTTGGTACAAAGTGTATTAACATCTATTCAAGCAATATGGGCACAAATATTTCTCCTTCCAAAGGAAGTGTTGCAGCAGGTAGAAACTATATGCAAGAGATTCCTAAACAATGGTGATGCACAAACTTAAGGGGAAACTCTTGTAGCATGGGATAAATTATGTTGGCCAAAGGTTGCTGGTGGACTGAATATTGCAGATGTATATGTGTGGAATAAAGCTCAAATATTTGTGGGACCTGTCTAAGAAAAGGATAAGTTATGGATTGTATGGGTCCATACTTGCTACATCAAAGTTAGGAGACCATGGGAAGTACAAGCTAAACAAGCTGCTTGGGTTGTGAGGAAAATCCTACAAGCACGCCATTACCATTTTCAAAAAGAAATCCTACAAGCAGGGCATTGGATATTATAAGCAGGATTACAAGTGACAGAGGTTATGGAGGCTGAAACACTTAGAGGTGAATTGAGCAAGGTGCCATGGAGAAGAATGATATGTTATAATTAAGGCAGTCCGAAATGGACATTCATCCAATACTTGGCTATACCAAGGAGATTGCCCACAAAAGACAGGCTAGACAAATGGGGGATAAACACTGATTCAATTTGCTCAATGTGTAACCCAGAACCTGAAACACACCAACACCTATTTTTTGCATGCAGTGTGGCAAATGTGATATGGCAAAGATTACTTCAGTAAATGTCCATCACCAGACACAGTGCAGGGTGGAATGAAGAGATAGACTGGGCTACAATGCATGCTAATAGGAAATCAATACAAGACGAAGTGTATAGAATGACATTAGCTGCAGCTCTCAGTTAAATATGGCAAGAGAGGAATCACAGAATTTTTCAGCAAAAGGAAGAGGAACATAGAGGAGATTATAAAGAAAATCATTCCGGAAATTCATTGTAGAATTAGCATGAATCCTAGAGTGGCTAGTTGAATTCATAACCTAAATTGTTTAACTTAGTAGAAATTCTAGCATAGAGCCTGGACAAGGCAAAAGTGTTGGGCTTTGAGACTTGGGATTATGTTCATGTCCTACGCTTCAAATTTGTACATATTTGAGAATCTTGTAATACAATTACAGTTACCAAAAAATTGTAGGAGAAAGATGAAGTATTGTAAGCAGTTGTTTGCAGAATACATGGAGTGGACACTGACCACGTTTTGCTATATATTAGCTTTGTTTCAGAGTTGTGGGCAGACAGCTGGCGGACAAAGTAGATGAACCACAGAAAGGTCATGGAGAGCCCCTTTATGAGTATTTTGGCTTATATAGAAGGATATATAGATAGATATATAGAGAAAAAGTATTCTCATCTAGCCAAAGACCATGATGTGGAACATGGAGCACCTTTGCAGAGAGGGATATTGAGCTCAGGAGCGCGATCGCGAGCCCCTCGCCGTGACTGCAAAGAAGGCGCCTAGAACACCAGATTTGCAATTCATACTCATGTCCATTTATGTAATTAGCTTAGTGTTACTATAAATAGTAAGACTTGAGATATATTTGCTTACAGATGATTTAGAGTTTTTTTCTTCTTTTTTGATAAGGTAAAGTAAAGGTTAATTGACTAAGTACCAAGAAGGTACCAAAACAAAATGTTACAAAAGACTGATGGGAATATGCATACAGTCAATTACGACATCTCCCTAGCAGCTCCAAAAACTCTATATATTGATCTATATTATCAAGGAAACTACGTTTAAACCAACTGTGAGAAATATTGGAGAAAATATTATTGAATTGCACATCTAAATTGTTACATGAAGACCCTATTTATAGACACTACATTGAAAACCTTTTCCAACTAGATTTCCTATTCTTATTCCTATTCTAAGTAAGAAATACTTATTTTTATTCTAACACTCCCCCTCAAGCTGGTGCATACAAATCATATGCACCTAGCTTGTTACAAATGTAATTTATACGAGGACATGTGAGAGACTTGGCGAACATATCTGTAGGCTGATCATTGGACTTCACAAATTTTGTAACAATATCTCTTGAGAGTATCTTTTCTCTGACAAAGTGACAATCAATCTCAATGTGCTTAGTCCTTTCATGAAACACTGGATTTGATGCGATATGAAGAGCCGCTTGATTATCACACACAAGTTCCATCTGATCAATTTTGCCAAATTTTAGTTCTCCCAGTAACTGTTTGAGCCAAACTAACTCACAAGTTATTGTCGCCATTGCTCGATATTTTGATTCTGCACTAGATCGAGCAACCACATTTTGTTTCTTACTCTTCCACGACACCAAATTACCTCCAACTAAAACACAATATCCAGATGTCGAACGTCTGTCAGAGGGTGATCCTGCCCAATCAGCGTCCATATATCCAATGATATGCTCATGACCTTGATTCTCAAAGAGTAGTCCTTTGCCGGGGGCTGACTTTATATATCGAAGAATACGAACAACTGCTTCACAATGACTATCACAAGGGTAAGTCATAAACTGACTTACAACACTCACGGGAAAAGAGATGTCTGGTCTAGTCACTATGAGATAATTCAACTTTCCAACAAGTCGTCTATACCTTTCAGGATTACTAAGTGGCTCCCCCTGTCCCGGAAGAAGTTTTACATTCGGATCCATCTGCCAATGTCTTTAGTCTGAAAGTGCTTAAAAAGATGTTGCTTTAAATCGGTGATACCATCTTGATCATTATCGGTGATAACAATATCATCAACAGAAACAACCAAATAGATACATCGACCTGGCGCAAAATGTCGATAAAACACAGAGTGATCAGCTCCACTACGAGTCATGCCAAACTCCTGAATTACTATGCTGAACTTCCAAACCAAAGCTCGATGAGACTGTTTTCAGACCATAGAGTGACCTACGCAATCGACATACAAGGCTACTAAACTCCCACTGAGCAACAAAACCAGGTGGTTGCTCCATATAGACTTCTTCCTCAAGATCACCATGCAGAAAAGCATTCTTTATGTCCAACTAATAAAGAGGCCAATGACGAACGACAACCATAGATAGAAAAAGACGAACATATGCTATTTTAGCCACAGGAGCGAAAGTGTCACTATAATCTAGCCCAAATATCTGAGTATACCCTTTGGCGACAAGGCGAGCCTTAAGTCGATCAACTTGACCATCTGGACCAATTTTGACTGCATAAACCCAACGACAACCAACAACAGGTTTACCTGTAGGAAGGGAGACAAGCTCCCAAGTACCACTCTTATGTAAAGCAGACATCACATCAACCATAGTCTGCCTCAATCCAGAATGAGAAAGTGCTTCACCTGTAGTCTTACGAATGGAAACAGAGGACAAAGACGACACAAAGGCATAATGGGGTGATGATAGACGATGATAACTTAAGAAGGTATAAAGCGGGTTAGTATTTCGAGTAGATCGTATACCTTTTTGAAGTGCAAGCGGTGGGCTAGGTAGAGGCAAGTCCGCAGTAGGAGCAGGGTCTGGTGCATGACATGAATCATCTGGGACTAGGGTTGGACGTGGATGACGATGATAAGTTAGAAGTGGTGGCACTGCAACTGGAGATGTAGACGTAACTGTAGATCCCTCAAAGGGCACAAGTAAAACTTGAGGTATGGGTAAGACCATAGACATCAGTATGATCAGAAGATGTATAGTAAGGCTGAGACTCAAAAAATGTAACATCAGCAGAATAACATATCGATGAAGATCATGTGAATAACAACGATACCCTTTTTGAACTCTAGAGTAACCAAGAAAGACACATTTGAGGGCACGAGGAGCTAATTTATCTTTCCTAGGGCTAAATTATGAACAAAGCATGTGTTCCCAAAGACATGAGGGGGAATAGGATAGAGATGTGACTAAGGAAACAGTATGGAATCTGAATAGACGAAGAGGGCATTCTGTTAATTAAATAACAAGATGAAAGGACTGCATCGCCCCAAAAACTCAGCGGAACATGGGATTCAATGAGGAGAGTGCGAGCAGTCTCTATGAGATGCCTATTCTTTCTTTATGCGACACCATTTTGTTGAGGAGTGTGGACAAGATGTTTGGTGAATGATTCCGTGGTGAGACATAAATTGCTGAAATTGGGATGATAAGTATTCTAAGGCATTATCACTACGGAAAGTACGATAGAAACACCAAACTGATTTTGTATTTCAGCAAAGAAACTTTTGAAAATAGAAAATAACTCAGAACGATCTTTCATTAAAAAAACCCAAGTACATCTTGAATAATCATCAATGAAACTAACAAAATAATGAAATCCTAAGGTGGAACTGACTCTACTAGGACCCCAAATATCAGAATAAACTAATGAAAAAATAGACTCTGAATGACCCTCAGTACTACAAGAAAACATAGCACGAGTGTGTTTTCCAAGTCGACACGACTCACAATCTAATGTAGATAAACTAGACAAACTACGCACCATTTTTTGTAGTTTGGATAAACTCGGATGTCCTAGACGTTTGTGAATTAGATCTGGGGAATCTGTAACGGAGCATGCTGTCAAGGAATTTGAAGAGGTAAGGTAGTAAAGGCCTTGTGATTCATGTCCTGTTCCAATCATCTGTCCCGTACTGCGGTCCTGTATGAGAAAAAAATCATCGAAAAAAATTATGCTACAATGTAGGGATTTCGTCAAACGACTAACAGATGCTAGATTAAAAGAAGAACCAAGAACATAAAGAACAGAGTCTAGGGTGACAGAAGATAGGGGTTTGGCTTTTCCAACCCCTTTTGGTTTTGTCTAGATCCCATTGGCTAAAGTAATAGCTGGAAGAGATTGCGAATAAGCAATACCGGATAAAAGTGATTTATTACCAAAAATATGATCACAAGCCCCAGAGTCCACGACCCATGTTCCAATAGTACTAGATTGCGACACACAGCAAAAGAATTACCTGTGACAGACACATCAAGTTGTGCAACCAAAACTACTTGTGGAGACGTTTGCTTATTTGCACGATACTGAAGGAACTCATCATATTCTATCTGAGCAATATGAGCATTATTGGATGGTTGATTAGGTTGAGCACCATATGCTACTGGTGGAGATGACTGTTTACTTGCGCAATTTCGAAGGAACTCATTATATTCCTTTAGAACAAAAGGATCATAACTGGGTGGTGGACCATGCAAAATATGACATATGTCATGAGTGTGTCCAGACTTATGACAATGACCATACTTGGATCAAGGTTTCCCAAAACGTCCTCCCCCTCGCCGATTCTCCGTAAACTAATATGTACGCTTTTCAAAGGTTTGATGCGAGAATAGAGGAGTCAACAGTGGGTGATGAAAAGACTTTGTGACTATGAGGTGTCGCAAGACGAAGGAGGCGAGAGAATAATTCATCGATTGTAGGAACTGTAGGGCTAGCTAAAATCTAATTACGCACAGAATTATTATCAGGAGGAAGTCCAGCAAGAGTAAGAACTAGAAACAATGTTTGTCTATGTTCTTGTTGTTTTTCCACATCCGTAGTTACTGGCATCAACGTGTTGAATCCCTCCATGATTGCATGTACCTGTGCCAAGTAGACATATCGGATTCTTGTTTTTTTAAGTTGGTCAATCGAGATATCACATCATAGAATCGAGAGATATCATTAGTGCATAAAGCACGCACCTTTTCCCAAACTGTATAACACGTTTCGAATGGGCGAAACAAGGTCATCGATTTGGAATCAATCAAACGCCATACGAGACTAGATAATTGAGCATCTACTTTCTCCCAATGTGCTTTGACTTTTGCATCTTCCTCACTAGTCTTAGCCTTTACATCTACCACATAAGTCTTGTTCGTTAAGTGATCGTGCACACCTTGACCCTTGCACCACAATTCAACTGACGAAGCCCAATATAAATAGTTTGAACTTCCCAATAGAATTTCTGAAGTGATTATAGGCTAGAATTTCCAATCCCTATATTTTTAAAACCAAAAACATCACATCCAAAACACATTATGCTAAATTTGTCTCGGGAACAACAAAAAAATCTTGATTATTGAGATCTGATCGTCGAAAAATTCAAAGCTCGAAAAAAAATTGCCGGAACCCTAATTTCGGCGATCAAATCTTGTTGGAATCAGGAAAAAAATTTAAATAGTCAGCCTCGGAATGAAGAGTCGACTTAAATACAAAAAAAAATTGTCGAAAAAATTGGCCGAAAGTCACACGCTGGCGCGTGGGTCTGACAGTTCGCCGGTGAAAATCCTACCAACGGCGCGTGACGGCACGTGTAGCACTGGTTTCCGGTGGGGATGACTGGGCTTTGCTCGCCGAGAAATTCTGCAGCTAGTGGTGGTGTCAATTTTATGAAAACAGTGACGGAAAATAATAATTACCCGGATAGCAACTAGGTTACCAGAAAATATTAAACTTTTTTTAATTTTTTTTTCCTCACAATTGCTCTGATACCATGTGGGAAATATTGGAGAAAATATTATTGAATTGCACATCTAAATTGTTACATGAAGACCCTATTTATAGACACTATATTGAAAACCTTTTCCAACTAGAATTCCTATTCTTATTCCAATTCTTATTCCTATTCTAAGTAAGAAATACTTATTCCTATTCTAACACCAACAAAACAAATTATGTAAACCCTTGTTTTAACTCTAGAATATGGTCTTTTTGCCCATCAAAACAAGCTTTATTTCTTTCTAGCAAGATAGTCCAGAATATGTACAAAGGTATAGTTCTCCAGATTTGCTTCAAAGTTTTGTGTGTTCTCTGCTGCTGCCAACACTCCAATAATTCCTTCACACGCTGAGGCATGATTCAAGAGATCCCACAAATACTGATTCAGATTTTACTCCTTTTGATGGGTGTTTAGGAATTTTCCTATAAATCTTCCTTGAAAGCATTTATGTGATTAAAAGCTATTTTTATTATTAGAATTGTTTGTTTTATTTTCAAAAAGAAATTGTTAAAATCATCCATATCCTCCTAATTTCTTGTGTTCTCTTTCTCCCTGTGTTGTTCTTAATTTCTTGTTATATCTTTTCTCTATCTTGTTCTTAATTTTTTGATAAAATTTCTTACTTCCATGCATATGATTGTGATCATTCAATTAGCTGATTGCAGATGTGATTGTATTAAAAAATGGAGTTTTTCGAGGCACGACAAAGGGATGTTAGAGATAGTGGATAGATAGAAGAATCTGATACTGTTACATTGATGAACCAACTGGTGGCAGTAGAGATGGGAAAGGGTGGGCTCAGGGAAAGGTTCCTTGCCCCTTTACCACTCCCAAAGTACTTTGTAGTTTGTTATGGAGATCAACACAACTACCAAAACCTCATCTCAATGCTAGCTATAATTTTACTGTTGCATGACATTACCTTCATCGACATGCAAGGTGTAGTTTCCCAGTGGCATATCCCTGTCAAGTGTTCTGACAATATTATCTTCATCCTCCAACCAAAATGCACGCTTTGTCCTTAATCGAAAAGCAGATTTAATAGCTTCCTTGATCGCATCTGCAGTACCGTCAATACCAATTCTTTTGGTGTAATCTCCCCACTTGACAGAGATAACTCGTCCCTCATATGATTGACTCGGCTCACCTGTAAACGCAGAGAATAGTTATTAGCATAAAATAAAAGTCTAAGCAAGTTGACACTGTTGCCCTAGAAGCAATTTTTGTCAGAAGCCTCAAAAGGGTAATCTTTGTACCAATTAAAATTAATTGAAAAAGCCACAGAATGAATCTAAACAAAACCCAGAAGCTGCCATCTCAACGAAATCCAGAGAATGACAGAATATAGACAAGCATAAAAATATTTGTTGCTGGGTTTCTAAAAGAGTTTTAGGAGGGATGTTCTTAGAACAGTTCTCTCAGTGTGCTCTACACTTCTTGAATTGAAGAGTCAAGGTAGGAAGAACTAGTCTGACTGACCCGACAAAGAAAAATATGCAAAAATAGTTTTTGAGAAGATTCTTCAAACTCCTTTTGTTTTCCTTGTTCTCTGAAGTAAAACCATGGGGATGTTTCCACACTAATTTGTAACACAGACTGACCGGTTCCATGTGGCTCTCTCCAATTCCAAGGGGAAACTCCACTAGCGGTGACTGCATCTGCTGCTGTTATGGCAAGAGGATGGCCATCATGATCCAGACGTCGTTCTAAATTAAGAGTTGGTCTCCCATTCTCTGTACATAAAAAATTTTAGAACCTATATTCCACTGCATATTGTAACTTGGAATTCAACAAAAAGAATAGCATGAAAAAGTAAGTGCAATAAATACTGCATGTCGTTCAGAAATACAGAGCATATAATTCAGGAAAAATAAAGCTGCAACCATCTTAAGCTTAATTTAGTTTACATTTCTTTAGAAACATAACTAGAAACTTGCAGTGAAAGATTCTGAGGTCATGATTGAGTTGGAAAGTATCATTGTTTTACCCTCCTTGAATCAGATGGGAGACTCGTTTTTAGGTTGAAGTGGTTTTCTTTTAACTAGATTACATTCTAATCGGCATTGATAGGTTTAGTTAGGCATTATTGCAGATGTCTAAGAATCCAAAGGCAGTCTTCTTTGATTAATCAAAATCCATAAACAAACAGATTGACCTGACATAAGCGCAACTTTTGTGAGGGGAAGTAATGGAGGGTATACATTAGAGCATAATGTAAGAAAAGAAATTCAATAATAGAAATTACCCTTATCTCAAAAGAATTTCAATAATAGAAGATGACAAGGTGTTGCTGACTTCAAGATATGGCTGTTCCATGATTTCATATGATATGTCTTTAAGAGAAACAAAGGGTTATTCAAGGTGAAGTATGATTCAGTTTTTGAAGCATTTAGAAACAACGCCACGGTAACGTGTTGCACCTAAGATATCATGCATTTTAAAAGGGCGAACAAGTGATGCACATATGCAAAATATCGACAGATCGCCTGGTGATCCACTTCCAAATTTGTGGATTGCAAATTAGCTCAAGGTTTTGGACCTAAGGTACCGTCAAGCTATACAAAAATGAAACACTGCCGTCCTACAACTCGAAAGGATGTGTAAATAAGTATCCTTTAGATTCCATGTATATTTCTTATCCTTTTTTATTCCTTTTTTTTATCAAGTAAATATATTTACATTGTGAAACATGGACTAAATGTTGTATGCAAGGGGTAATCCAAAATGTAAAAAATCTGCATGATATGATTCTCTACGAACTCAACCCAATTATCTATACAACATGGAACTTTATGTAAACACCAAAATGAAATAAGGGAACGGAGACTACTCATCAATTGGGAGAAACTCGACTCTACTCCTTCAAAAGCTTTCCTATTCCTCTCTCAAAACAACCCACATTAACACATGTGGTACCACATTCCAAGTCCTCCTCCTTCTCCTCCTTCCACTCTTTCACAATTTTGCCATTGCCTATGGAGTGTCAAACCACCAAAACATATCACACCATAACCTCATGGTTAACCTACAATGAAGAAGAAGATGATCCAAGTCCTCACCCGTCTTCTTACACATGTAACACCAACTGACACAAACAATCTTCCGTTTCTAAGATTTTCCACTGTCAAAATCACCACTCTAGCAGCTAGCCAAGAAAAAGAAACACGCCTTCCTCGGCACCTTTGGTATCCATATTGTATTACATGGAAAAACATGCTCCTCTCTAACCAACAGGTTATCATGAAGGACATCACAGATGTATATTTTGTATCCTTCATTTTTTAGAATTATTAAAAAAAAAATTAACCACGAATTTAATCAATCAAACAAGAGCTTTCATCTTATCTTTTGTTTGTGATCTACTATAGAGCTTCCACCTTATCTTTCACCTGTGATCTGGTTTTATATGGTATCAGAGCCCAATGCAGACCTATTCATCCGAATCCCTTCCTCCTCCATACCCATGTTGTCTATAACATCTCTTCTTCAAACTACAAGTCACGTAATTCTCAAAAGACGTCATTCTTTGTCAACCACATTCCTATATTTCAAGCAGTACTCTACTCCCTAATTATCCTCTCTTATTATGGTAATAAGGGTCTACATTTCTCTCCCCAAACTCATAAACTTGTGCCTTATCACTCTGTACAGTCTCAATCAGACTGTGGTTCCTTCTAAGCCTATATCTCCTACTAGTGATACATAACCCAATTCAAATTCCAGTTGATCCAAATCACCTCTCTCTCTTATACACATCCTACATAATTAGGTAAAATGCTTTATTCTAATATCTTGCTTTAAAATCCATTACTGGAGAAGCTACTCCTATTGTTGAATCCAAATGTTTCTCAAAAACAAATATATTCTTATTGTAACAACCAACCTCTTGTTTTACAAATTTACATGTCAATGCGTGATACAAAGCTTTACATAGGTGTATATTAATTTTTGGACTTGTTGGCATGCTTAGGGGTGTTCTGGAACCATGTTTGAAATAACACATTTTCTTATCCTAGTGTCTTATTCAAGATTGTGATGGCACCCGTCGTGAATGCGAAGCACTAGGAGGAAGTGCATCTTGCACACTAGACGTCAACTCTGCTTTGCAACAACATGGCTAAGGATCGCGATCATGTAGGAATAGTGGAAGAGCTTCACGAACACAAAAATGGGGTTCTCTATGGTGTAAAAAGAACTGAAACTTATAAATCCGAGTTTGATTAAGCTATAAGAACTGAAGCTTATAAAAGCCCAGTTTTATTAGACTGTGTATGGCCTAGAGTGAGAGGTAAATGAGCCATCCAACTAACCTCTAATATCTATCCTTATCTGCTAACCCTCTAACCCAAGTTTGTAACTTGTGATAGCTCTTTTATCTGTTCTCTTTGGTTTATCTCACAAAACAACTAGAAGCGTTCAGCTCCTTCCCTCCTAAAGCTTTCATTAGTTTATATCTAAAATCATGGCTTTTAGAGAGAGGAGTCCTACTTCTCTCTAGATTCTAGAAAAAAAGAGTTTATGTCCTTCTAAGAGACCGTAGATTGATCGATATTGAGGCTCGGTGGGAGCTGTAAGATGCCAAAATCTGATGGGGAGTCAAAGTTTTGCATCTCTGAAGAACATACCCAAATCAGAAAAAAGTTTTAAAACATGTCCGGTGGGATGTTTCTCCAAATGGGCAGGATCTCCAGAGGTCATTAGGAACTTGGCACATATATTAGGAGTGGTATAGATGGCCTAAAGATCTCGATGTTGGGTGAAATTCAATTCTTGTTGCAGTTCTTGAGTGGAGAACAAGTGGCACACATCCTTAAAAGAGGAAGAAGGTGGATGGGAGAAAGCTTTTGAGGCTGGAAAAACGGGCAGAACATAGTGGGTATGATGATCCACCCACGAGTTTCTAGAGATTCAGTGGTGGTGAACATGATGGGCTTACCTGTTCATCTAGGGTGTTTTGAGCTTTTCGGGAAGTGGGCGACATGTGTGGTGGTTTTGTGGATGCTTCCATCAAAAAAAGTAAATGAAAGATTTTCATAAAAATTCTCATAGAATCGAGATTGAAGTTTAAACCTTGTATGCGTATCTCCAACCATTTTGGACATAAATACCTTTTAGAAGGTCGGTTCACAGACTAGACAACCTCACCATGGTGAGACTTGTGGTGAGAAAAGGGGGAGAAATTTTGATCTTCCTCGAAGACAAAAGATGGGCCTGTGGGGTTTAGGATATAGTTGTACCCTGAATTCTGACATTTCTTGCTTATCCACAAGGAAGTAGGACAGTGAGAAGATGAGGAAGAAAGGGGGAAGAATGGGATAAAGGGGAGAAGGGCTATTGAGAGTCATGCGAAGCCAAGTAAGTTGCTAGAGATGAATCTTCTAGCACCTCCATCATCGAGGAAGCAAACATATGACGATAGATTTGAAATGGAGAGGAGAGGAAAGGGTTTCTATGCGGTAGAGTTTTACAAGGTTTTAGGGCAGTTCAAAGGAACTATTGATGCACAAGATAGTTTGGTATGGCAGGATCACAACTGGGACAATTTCAGTATTAGAAGAGCATACAAAAAACTTAATCCTTGTAACAGTCAGGGGAGTGGGTGGCCATGGAAGTTGATATGGAAACTAAAATCCCCTACAAGGTGTCTTGTTTTACTTGGCTCCTTGCTAAGCAGGAGTTTTTTGACCCAGGAAAATCTAATGAAAAGAAATATTCAACTGAGTCCTAGGTGCCTTCTATGTGGTGAAGAAGAAGTAGAGATTGTCAACCATCTCTTCCTTTACTGTAAAATAACAAACATTTTGTGAAATGTCTTTATCAATTAGAAGGACATGAAATGGGTTATGCCTAGGAAAGTTACACAGACCCTGAAGTTATGGAGCAATTATGCAAGCATTCCCGGGCATAAAGAAAGACGGAAAATCAATATGGCTTGCATCTGGTGGTCCGCGTGGAAAGAAAGAAATCTCAGATGCTTCCGGAACAAGAGCAATTCCATCCAGAAGATTAAGATGAACTGCTTAGTCTTGTTTCTTTTTTGGTGCAAATAGGAGTACATGGTAGATCTAGAATCAAATGAAGATGTTTTAGGTTCCTTGTAAATTTTGCTATAGGATTGAAGATCTTCCTGGTACTCTCCACAATTATAATTAGGAATCTGTAACTTATTGTGGCAGGTTCTAGTTTTAGTTTTGGAAATAGAATACAAGTTGTTACTGTCTCAAAAAAAAAACAAGAATACATCTGGTTAAGTGAATTAGGAAAGAGAATATAAGTCAAGTCACCAACTTTTCTTTTTTTTTTTTTTGAAATGGTAAGGTTGAATTCTTTAGCATTAAGGGTATGCTGGCTACCTCCAAAAAGGAATAATTCCAGATTTCCTATCAAATCTATGATCTGGTCTGTAATCTATACAAAGTTGTTTAAACCAAAGAAGTAGAGATACTATACAATTCCATTTAACTTTATGGATGGAATTGGATCTATCTTCAAAACATCTTCCATTTGTTTCTTTAGAGACTGACCACAATACACATGATGGTATTAGCTTCCACCATCTCTTTTGACTCTTACGGCCTCCACTCCTAATCCAACAGCTCAAAAAATCTGATGTATGTTCTGGCATTGTCCAGTTCATGCTTGTGATGTTGAGAGACAAGTTCCAAATTTGAGCAATAAACTTACAATGCAGGAAGAGATGGTTATTTGTTTCCCCTGTCAAGTTGCACAAAAAACACCTAGGAACCAGTTGTCTGCCTTTCTTTTATAGAACTTCTTCTGTTAGACATGCCCTCTTTATCACTAACCACTAACCAAGTGAAACACTTTACTTTTGTAGGAATGTAACTCTTCCAAAAGTAGTTCCAATTATAATTTGGGGCCTGTCATCCCCATTAGTCCTCTTTTGTAGGCATTGATGACTTAGACGACTCCATCCTAGCTATGTTTCCACAGGATCTTGTTTGTTGTTGTTGTAGTTATAATCATTCCTGCTAATTTTTCTAGTAATGCTGCCACCCTCTCCACCACCCAGTCATTAAGTAGTCTTCTTAAAGATGTGTCACATCCCTGTTCTGTCAAACAATCGCTAACTCTAGCATCAGAGTTCTCATATATTAGAAACAAATATGGAAAAAGTTCTCTGAGAGAGGTTTGGTCTAGTTAACCATCTTTCCAAAATATAGTTTTGTTTCCATTACCCACCTTAATAAACATGTTTCCTTCCATTCGTGGCCATAGGTTCCTGATTGTCCTCCATACCCCGACCCCATATGGTCCGGAGGTGATTTTTGTACACCAGGGATTTGGTTCTCCATATTTTGCTACAATAACCTCCTTCCAGAGAGCTGCATCTTCCTCAGTGTATCTCCATAGCCATTTCATCAAAAGGCTTTCATTTTGCAGCCTTAAATTTCTGATCCCTAAACCCCCTTTTTCTTTGCTGAGAAGAACATTCTTCTAGTTGACTAAGTTATAACCCTTTCCTTATTGCTTTTCCATAGGAAGTTCCTTCTAAGTTTGTCTAGTTTATTCACCACCTTCGCTGGGATTGGAAACGTTGGAAACAGAGACATCACATAGTTTGGTAAAGAGTCCAGAACAAAGTTTATGAGGATCTACCTACCCCTGGGGATAGGTATTGTGCCTTCCATCCAGCAAGTTTATTCTCTGTTTTAACAAGAATACCATTCCATACCTCCATTGTTTTGTGTTTGGGTATATAATAGGCAAATGCTCCACTTAGCATCCTAGTATAATTGCTAGTTTCTGGATCTGAGGGACCTCATTAACCGGGAAGAGATTACTTTTTCCCCGATTTACTTTCAACGCTGAAACTGCTTCAAGGAAACCCAAAATCACTCTGATGTAGCTAATTTGTTCTGTTGTAGGTTCACAAAAGATGATAGTATCATCCACATAGAGTAGATGACACATTACTTTTTCTTCCCCCACTCTGTCTCCGACCTGAGAGCTTCTAATCCATCTATTTTGAGTTGCAATCCTCATCATACTATCAAAGCCTTTCATTGCAAAAATGAAGAGTCAACTCACCAACCAAAAACAAAATAAACCAAATCAACCTATTCTTTTCTTTTCTTTTCTTTTTTTTGAAAATGGTAATGTTAAAAAATTCAGCCTATTTTGTAGATCCATATAAGAGCCCTCGAGCTAAAAATTGTTCTTCTCAAATGTATCTGAAACTTCCTACTCAATCATAGCATGTCTCCACTTTTGATCTCGACTCAGGATGTCATAATTTCCCTCTAAACAAAAATAAATTCTATTGTCCATCCTGTTCATGAGGATCAAGATATTGAGCAGGAACAAAAGTTCCATAGGAGTGGTTTGAGAAGTGTGAGTTGAGCTTATGGAAGCTCAAGAAGTTGCTTACTACCAATCCTATATTGACTCTTCCAGGTGGAGGAAAAGAAGCTTGAAAAGAAAGGATGAAGATGGAGTTTTCTAGTGGAGGAACTCCACCGGAATGGATTCCCCTAATCTAGAAGAACTTTAGGATGATGCTTCAATAAAGGTGCCTTTGATATTAGACAGACTTACATAGTACTGATACTTGTGCGTAAAATAATCTGTGTACAGTCTATATAAACAGATAGAAGCATGAAATCTTGAAGTCACGTATTCCCATAAACTTTTTCTCATGTTCTATATTTTCATTGTAGCTATGGTAGATTTTTTGTTCTACCACTCTGAATTAACTGTTCAGACACGCTATGATGCTAAAAGTCTAGAACATCCAGCAGAATATAAAAAAAATGGCCGTGGAAAATGATATGGAAGACAAAAGTACCAGCCAAAGTGGCTTGTTTGGATGGTTGGCTGCTCTCGGAGCGTATTTATCGCAGGATCGGCAGCAGGAGAAACAATTTATTCATTGTAGCAAGTGCATTTTATATGAGAATGCAAAGGGAATCAGTGCATCACTTGATACCTCACTGTAGCATTTCATGGCAGATTTGATATATATTTTTATGCATGTTTGGAGTTCACTGGGTAACGACATCAAACATTTGATAGCTACCTCATATTTGACAAACACAGAGATTGATAGGAGACAAAATAGGCTATACAGTGAGCCACCTTATGCATAGCATGGACCTAAGTTACTTGGACTCTTCACTTTTGGTGCCGCACCCGTACCGGACACTCACACCCGAGACTGAACAACTTAGGGTATGGGATCCGTGTCCAATTTGGTCAATCAATTTTGGGTACTTTGACCGAAATCGATGGGGGAAGGTCTGGACAATTTTAATGATTTATGTAATCAATACAAAAGCTAAGGTGAAATTTAAGAAAATGAAATACCTTTTATATAGAAATTTCTATGTCGCTCCTTTTCCTTTGATCTCCTTCCGGAAATCTCCTCAAGTTCTCCACATAATATCTCATAATTTAGGTTTTATAGCTCTATATTTATATATTATAATTATTTTAAGGCGAATCCCTGCACCCGTATTCATACATAGATCCATATTCCCGAATCTTAAAAATTAGATAACGAAAGATTCGACCTTTAGATCCACACACGAATCGGACAACTGCACCCTAGTCCGAGCAACTTAGGTAGGGACTATATGGCTAGGAAAGATCTAAAGATGCTTTGACGGGAAGAGGGAATTTGCAGCTGTTGAAAAATTCAAATGTATTCAGAGTCTGTTGTTGTTTTAGGAGCAGCGGGTCTTTTGTTACCGATTCTTAAGATTTCATGGCTTGCTAGAGTCTTTTGTCATGTAATTTGGACGAGTCCAATTTGTGTAACCTTTTCAGACTTTATGCCATCATCCAAAAAAAACAATTTATATTTTATCAATCTACATTTTTCTAAAATTTACATTAACCCTTTCCTTGAAAAACTAATCCATCCTATTATCACATATTGGTACCCCACAGACGAACTAGTATTGGATAGTGTATCAAACCAAAGAGAGCTTATCTCAAATTACTCCAACCACCAATATTGTTGAGTCTGGTTAAGCCAGACCACTAGGTTCTAACTGGTCACCTTAAATATAATTAATTTTGACAACTTTATAGAAGTACCGTATAATGAAGCAAGCAGCAGCAGAAGATGAAGAGTATGGAAAAAGACAGTAGGCAGTAGAGAAATGAACAAGCACAAAGATAAGATAGCAATGGTCTAAAGAGCTTAGATGTGTTACCTTCAACGGGTCCAAATGTGATGCTTGTATCATCAAGACCTGGGATAAAGTGTAAGACATTAGAATTGAGAGGAAGATGGTTGGAGCATTAGTTAAAAAGAAAGAAGATACCTTTTTGAGCAAAGTGCATAAAAGAATCAACCTTGGGAGGGGGAGGGAGAGGGGTATTAGTCCTGTCTCTTAAAATCTCGTCAATTTCCTTATAATAGGACATCTTAGCAGAGCCATTTCTATCTTGATTTTGTTTAGCTTTCTTGAATTCCTTCAACAAATTTCTCCATTTATCAGTACACATAGTAGGTGACCTATCAAACCCCTTTTCTCTCATCTTCATAGAAATTTGGTCCCACAAATGCTTATTAGACTTTGAAGTGTTGAAAAGAGAGTCAATTTCTCTACGAAGACCAATAAGTACTCGAGTTTCTTCTTGTACCCATGTCTCTGCACGTTTCTTAGGGGTTTTCACATCAGAACAAGGGTTTGTACAATTTTCCTCGCCCCCACTGCTCGTCGTATCTCCTCCTCCGCCTCCGCCACCCATCAGAATTTGCTGCTGGCTATTGCTAGTCACCACGTCAACCATCATTTTATCGATCCCACACTTCTTCTTTCTACAACTCTATAGCTTCAGCACTGTCGCCTATCCAGACTCCCCATCCCACTAAATAATTATTATTCGTGAAAAAGGTTAAAGTACCCTCCATTTTTGTTTTATAAATTAAATATGTTTTCGCTGTTAAAATGAATTATTTTTACCGTGCCGTCTACAAACTTGTCACATATATCCCTCAATTGGATGAAAAATCCTAAATCAACAAAAATAACCCAATTTTTACTTACATTGACCAATTTAGACCCAACCCGACCCACAAATCATTTAACCCATCTATATTCATCTTCATCTTTTTGAATATAAACATAAAAGCAAAAAACAATGAATAAAATGTCTCGTAATGAGGATCCCAACATAATGTGGTACACGATTCTTTGTTAGAGAAAGGGAAAGAGAAATTCAATAAAATGATGGCAAAGCAAGAGCGACGAGAAAGAGATTGGGCTGGCAGATCTCTTACTTCAGATGATCTTTCGGCCGAAGAAACGACGGAATCACTATAGTGAAGTTATTTGGCTTCATATTGAAGAGGCAATGATATTGGTTCCTCTCTTTGTAAACAAAGAGTTTTGTACTGGGCCAAACTAGTTTACTGAAACTATAACATTTGATTATCAATATTCTCTTCCCAAAGAACTTACAGAAGTGTCAAATCAAAATATTCTCTGGTTTTGTTACTTTGCTTGTCTGTGATATTTTTCTTTTATTTAAAATGGACATAAAAAGTTGTAGCATGGTTTCAAATGGAATGTGGAATTGAATACTTAACAATGACGGAGGATAATGCTTAGGATGAGAGTTGTGGAAAAGACGGAAAAGAAGGCGAGAAGCTTCAAGGGGGATTTTATAAGATGAGATGAAGATGAATAGTAGCAAAAATGTTTATGGTGAATAAATTAGATTAAAAATGAAAATAAATATAGGTGGGTTAAATGATAAGTGGGTCGGGTTGTGTCGGGTTTTAATTGATTAATTTAAGTAAATCGAGTTATTTTTGTTGATTTAGGATTTTTGAACCAATTGACGGGTGTATTTGACAAGTTTGTAAACGGTAGGGGCAAAAATTACTTCATTTTAACGGTGAGGGTATCTTTAACTAATAAAATAAAGTCGAGGGGTATTTTTAACCCTTTTCCCTTATTATTCCTTTCTCTTAATTTTCAACTCTCTCTCTCTCTCTCTTTCTCCTTTAAAAAAATTGTGATATCCAACTCATCCATAAAACAACTCTAAACATAAAAGAAATGGACCAATTAAAACATACCAAAAAGCCCTAAAATACCCATTAACTATGCAAATTGGTATAAGTTGCCCTTTATCCACCTATCGGACCAATATTTTGATTCTTTTTTACCCTTATCTTTGATGGTCTTTATGTATAACCTAAATAACAAAATCATTAATGGCTTGTCACTATCCTATTAACTATCCTTGCAATTAAATAAACTAATTAAAAAGACCACAAAATATCGATTAGATCAGACAAAAATGCCATACAACTTCCTATGATCAAATGAACAGTCGGTTGAGATTGTATAGGTTGAGGAGGTACTTCAAGAACTTCCACTTCACCCTTGAAGCATTTCTAATAATTCCCTACTTATCGAAGGGTGTCGTATCAAATTCTCTTGTATGCACCATTGCGCAACTAACCACAAGTTTATAACAATCTTCTTTACCCACCACAAAATTCTTCCTTTTGTTAAACTTATAAATATAAGGAAAAAGGGTCTGATGGACACTTATACTTTTATGTGTTTGTATTATGGACCCTTCTACTTAAATTTTTATCAATTGGACCCTTAAACTGAATAAAATGTAATATACTAAACCCCTATGACTGTTGACCATGCTTTTGTGGCATTAAGATAGTTGTGTTGGCTGGAGAGTGTGTGTAACACTATGAAAGTTCATGACTTAATCTTTAGCCTAACTAGATGAACTAAGACTTAAAACATTGTTTCTAAGACTAAAATAATGTATTGAAACTAATTAGGAAGTGTTAGAGTCAAAAAGTTAAAAAATGACGACGGCGCCCAAATAATTGTGAAATGTGTGCTAGTGTGCCTTGGCATGTTTCATGGGGTTTTAAGAGTCAAAATTTAGTGAAATTTGATAAAAAGGTGTTAATATATGGAAGAGTGTGCTTAGGATCTAAATATCCGAGTACAACTCCCTGAGGACCACCCTAAGAGTCCTTGGAGAGGACCCTTCCATTTGACCTAAAACTGTTAAATTGACAGTAGCCAAACGATGAGCCATCGATGGGTCAACGACCTGTCGATGGTGGTCGTTGGCCAAGACTTATTTTATTTCAAAAGGGGGCAAAAATCACACTCTGTAACCCAAACCACGGCCAGCAGCATGGTCTGTGGTCCATACAACAGGGAGTAGGTCGGGGTTTTGTCGATTGAGGTTCATCAACGACTCATCGATTGGCTTGTCGATTGACTCGTCGTTTGGCTATTGTCAATTTGATAGTTTTGGGTCAAATGGAAGGGTCCTCTCTAAGGACCCTTAGGGTGGTCCATGGGGAGTCGTACCCAGACGTTTCGACCTCAAACATATTCTAATACATGTTTAACACCTTCCTACCAAATTTTATTGAGTTTCGACTATTACTTACCCATGAAACATGCCAAGGCACATTAACCTCTTTCTCACAATTCACTAAAAATCATGGACGTTCCTTGACGTTTTGACTCTAAAACTTCCTTAATGATTTATGTGCATTATTTTAGGCCTTAAAACAGTTCTACCAACCTTAATTCAACATGTAAGGCTCTAGATTAGATCATGCACTTTCCGAGTGTTACATTATCCCTCCCTAGGAACATTCTTCTCCGAATGACACTAAAATATTTTGAAGGGAATGAATAGATTCAGTACTTCAGCCCAACCAACAACATACATAACCAACATGACTTACAACTCAAATGAACATATCAACATGACATTGATACGTAGCAACTCAAATCACTATTTACCACATTTAAGATCTCAACATTAACACATAAGGAATACCCTTTTCAATATCAAAATGATATCAACATGATCATCAAGTCACTTGTGCCAAAACTCGTTACAACACATAAACATGCTCATTACTATTTCAAGAAGGTAACAATACACCAAATACACAAATAAGTGCAAATAAAGCAAAAGAACATTTTTCTATGAAAACTCATTTTAGCTAAACCTTTTACCATAATTATGCATATTTTTGCAAAACAAGTCAAGTTCAAATTTAATCATTATTTTCAATATTAATAGGAACAACTAACCTTAGTTAGGAAAAAGATAAGAATAACAAGATGTTGCCCCTTCAACTAGGTGGTTTCTCCATAACACTTTTATGGAGGCCACCTCCTTGTTCATCAACTTCCTAACTTGTCTATCAAGGATCTCCATCGGAACCTCTTCATAGGAAAGACTCTCATCCACACCGAACCATTCAATAGGAAGCATGAACATGGGATCACCAATACACTTCTTAAGCATGGAAATATGAAATATCGGATGAATCGAAGCTAGTTCACTAGGTAGTCTCAACTCATATGCAACCTTTACAACCCTTTATAACACCTCATAGAGATCCACATACCGGGGACTGAACTTTCCCTTTTTGCCAAATCTTATCGCCCCTTTCATAGGTAAAATCTTCAAATACACCATATCACCTACTTTGAATTCAAGATCTCTTCTTCTATTGTTAGCGTAGGATTTTTGTCGACTATAGTTTGTTTTCAACCTATCCCTTATCACCCGTACCATCTCCAAAACTTGATATACTATTTTGGGACCAAGAAATGAAGACCCACCAACCTCAAACCACCCAATCGGAGACCTACATCTCCTACCATAGAGTGCTTCAAATGGATCCACTAAAATACTCGAATGATAACTATTGTTATTGGAGAACTCAATCAACGTGTAAGACCCCCAAAATGAGTTAGGGTGTCTAGAGAATCACTTGTGACTTTAAGATTTTTAACATTCTAATTAAGTGTTTTAAAGTATGCATGAGTAATTTGAAGGAATTTTGAAGTCAAACGTCATAGGACGACTAAAACGTTCGACGACTTGTCACCAAGAGGCCTTAGATATTTTTATGTCTTATATGTGTGTAATTGGATTATGAAGTCCTAATATGAGTAAAATCATGTTTATAGGTAGTATTTTGAGTTTCATGAATTTTGGAGGTCAAACATCCAAGACGTTCAAAAGTTTGCCCTTGAGACGTGCATGTGTGTCTTGACTGTGCCTAGCATGTTTGGACGTGTTGTGAGTATTTGTTTTTGGATGAAACTGATGTGGTAGGTCTTTGACATGTTAATGTATATATTTACGTTGGAAACGTCTAGGTAAGACTCCCCAAGGGCCTCACAAGAATCTCTCTAGGAGGACCTAAAGGCTGTCGAGACACTACATTGTCAGTGTCAATCGACGGAGCCAAAGGACGGTTAGTAGTCTCACCTACGCCCCGTCGATGGTGATTTTTCGTCCAAGACTTATACTGGTGAAGTCTCAAGTCAATGTACAAGCCTCAGTCCCAAACGACGACCTTTAGTACGGTCCGTCGATGGACCTACTGGGCGTCGTTTGAGACTGTCGATACAGGTTGTGTAAAACTGCCATGCAAGCTGTCTTATTATGGGTGAATGGAAATTCACCCCACGTTCTAACCTGACCCTAGTTGGTTTATTTGGTTATTTTTGGGTGTATTTAGGTGATCAAAAACGTGACTAGCCCAGTTTCAATTCATTCTTCAAATTAAAACCCTTCCCTCTAAAAAAGAAACCTCTATAGAATTCTCCATTGAAGGTGAAGCTCAAGGTAGCTTGTAGATGGGATTTCAATGGGTACTTCACCAAGTTTTTTTGATTCCTTAATCTTATAAAGGTATGGTGGTCCTTCATCTCTAGTTAATCTTCAATCTAAGAGTTCTTCTCAAAGTTTTCAAAGAGAAAAATATGATAAAACTTCTCCTTCTTAAATCTATCCATTGGTTCTTTATTAAAACATTTTTAAAGGCTTCATCATGATAAATTGATATTAATATAATGA